GGGCAAAACAATTCCGGGTGGCCTTGCCTGGGCTGGGGAGCTGGGCGGGTGGCGGAGGGAGGGCCGCGGAAACCGTTCCCATAACGGTGGCTAGATTAGACCAGCGTTTTTTGGGTTTTTTTCCCTTTGGAAAGCAGCGCTTCTTCATGCGGGCCCGGAATTCGTGTGCTCTTCGCAGCCTCTTTCTGTATGCCTTGCAAAGTAACGAGCAACAACAGGTTGCTTTTCCCCGTCGCTTCATCAGCAGGTGTTGATGAAACATTAGTTATGCTGGGTATGTTTCAGCCACGCTACTTGCTGCTTTCAGAAACGCAGTCTAGAGGTTTTTTGCATGGAAATACTTCATGTCATCAACTTCTTGGCCGCTTACCTCCCCGCTATGATTGCTTTCTTCCATTTAAATAAATGTGCTTCTATGTTCTTATGTTATTCTTCCTGTTCTAACGTTCAATAAAACATCCATTTGAAATATTATTTACTGTGAAACGTGTTTAAAAACGATACGGGTAGCGTACTGCTCAGTAAGTCCACAGGTTGCTTTTGGGTTTTACCGATTCTTTCATATTTTCTTCTGTTTAGTAATTTCTCTAAACTTGGTATGTGTGAAAAGAATTGTGAAGCCAGTAAAAGGAGAAGTAAATTTGTTTGGAAGTATGGCATAAACTACAATTGTAAGAAATCACAACTATATTTGATTAAGTTGGCAGGTTGGAAAGACATTTACTTCTGATGAACACTCAGAGTTTTATCTTAAATTTTTCTAGCTGCTTACTGCATGTTGAATTCGTCGTATTAGGGAGGAAGTGTGGGCAGGGTGATAGTTTCACATGCTAATGCCAATCCCATTTCCCAGACAAAGCTAGGAATTAGTAGGGAACAGAAGAGGACAAGACCAGGGAAGGAATATTCCTGCAAAGTAGCTGCATCAAAGTTATTAATGGTAGAGTGTCTAAATCATTTGACCTTGACTTCTCCTGCAGTTTCTTTTGTGTAGAAAGATTGCCAAGCCCTCTCCTGTTTTGTTTTGCTTTGAGTTTATGAACTCTCCACATGGGCAGCCAATGTTCTGTGTGTACAAAAGGCTCTGTTTCTTTTCTCTTAAATTTTCTTTTTAACAATGCACAGTTTAAATAATCCTGATGAAAGTGAGTTAATATATTGTCAACTTGTCTCCAGGGATTTTTTTTTTTTGTTTGTTTGTTTAAATTTGGCCTGGTGTGATCAGCAGTCATGTACTTACTCAAAATATAGTCTTCCATGTTTTGTTTAAGCATTTTTTTAAGTAATGGATTCTTCTACTGATTTAACTATGTAAATACAAGATCTTAGCTGGTGTAGCGTACCGGTA